TAAAGTAGCTCAGTTTAAATGTATTGTATGAATTGCCCTTACTATGGAATAAAAAATACGGAGTATTTACACTTAGTGCAAATAGCCAGAGGCTATGTACAGTAATTCCGCCATGCAACATGTGATTGAGATAGTCAACACTTTAAAAGTGGCTGTAAAAAATAAGCTCCAGTGGCGCAGATGGATAAGCTCGTGTTGTCGGCTATTTGACGCGATCGACCTGGGTTCGATCCCACTTTTTGCCGAACTTTTTTTTCCTCCCTTTTCAAATCTCGTATTAGCAATGGATTCTATTTACACTAAGTGAAAATAGCAGTATTTTTAGCAATATGCTATTTACACTACGTGCAAACACCTATTTACACTATGTTAAAATAGCAGGATTTCTATATATACTACTTGTTGCAAATAGTGGCAATTATCCGCACTTCAGTATTGTAGTACATTATAAAACAGTATGCAATAATAACGTATTGAGTGGTACAATAAAGCCCTCCCTACACCTACCCTAACCCTACCCGATACTTTATTTTCAACTTTTTGATTATTTCCTTAATTTTTATTGAAAATAAATGCCTTTACGATGTGATACGAGATTTGAAAAGGGAGAAAAAAAAAGTTCGGCAAAAGGCGAGATCGAACCCGGGTCGATTGCGTCAAAAAGCCAACGACACGCGCTTAACCATCTGCGCCACTGAAGCTCATTATGTATAGCTGCTTTTAAAGTGTTGACTAGCCCAATCACACGTTGGAGAGCGGAATTACTGCCAACAAGGCAGGCTATTTGCACTAAGTGTAAATAGACGGTCCGTATTTTTTATTCCATAGTAAGGGCAATTCATACAATACATTTAAACTGAGCTACTTTAATACCATCTCCGAACTTTCTACCACGACTCTGCTGTTCTTCGGCTGGTTCTTCCTGTATACGTTGATTGACAGATGTCTCGTCCAGTCAGCGGTGAGTAATCCCAAACCAATGGCGCCGTCTCAAACTATACCTACCTCTTCCGGTTTGTCTGATTTGTCGTTGTGTTTTGTGACTTGTTAATTTGTTTTCGGATTTGTCGTTGTGTTTTCTGACTTGTTATTTTGTTTTTGAATTTGTCGTTGTGTTTTCTGACTTGTTATAATGTTTTCTGAATTGTTGTTGTGTTTTCTGAATTGTTATTTTGTTTTTTAGACTTGCATTTGCATTTGTAATTTGTTATTTTGTTTTCAGAATTGTGATTTGTTTTGCACTCCTCGGCCACCGTACAGTAGCAATAGTAAAACAGTACCATTTTACTGGCAACATTTTTATAACTGGTAACATTTACTCTCCCAGTAAAGACCTTTTTATCTGGCCAATTTTTCTGCTCTGTCTCCTTAGATAAACCCACAAGGACATTGACGCTGCAGCCATGAATGGGTGTATTTCTGCTCAATGATGAGTTGTCCTGTAGATGAGCTCTTTCCAAGTAAATCAGACATAAACTAAAGCAATTAGCACTGAAGGAAATTATGCTAATAAGTCTGAGGACCTTGTTAGGTCATTTTCAATATCCATGTTAAACCGTGACTTAGGGCAGCCTTTCACCGTATGAAGATTAATTATTGTCCAAAGAGAAAATATGTGGAATTTGATATCCCACTAACCATGAACGAATTTCACAAACACCAGCCCTATCAGAAAACAATAATACGACAGTGTTGCTACACTTTCCATTAAAAAAATATAAAGAAATAAATCAAGCTTGCAGAATTGTTGTTCATCAAGAGATTTAAAATCATTCAATTATTTATTTATTTATTTATTATTATTATTAGTAGTAGTAGTAGTAGTAGTATTTGGGTAAGCAGTTATTTTATTATTAATTAATTAATTAATTGGATGAATCTGTCTAAGTTTGGAAAATCCAAAATCTTTCTCACTTTCTTTATCACAGGCTCTCCTAATATTAATCTGACATTTTGAGTCTTGGAAGTTGTGTTGCAGTGGAGCTTGCAATTTTCTCAAGTGCTTGCCAGTATTGTATGCAATTTTCTTCATCAATATGCAATAGTCAGTGAACTGACTGTGGTTGTGTTATCTAAAGCTAAAATATTTTAGAATTTGCTAAACCTAAAATTTTGCTTTGAACAAATGCTAAAAATATATAAATAAATATTGACAATGTAAAAAGAACCAATTATAATGGGCACAACTCTGGTTTTCTCACTAAGTATTTGTTACAATCTCAGCTCAATATGTTTCAGTGGTTCAATATAAAGCTTTAACCAACCCAGTCTCATAAAAATACGTACCTCTAGGTGCTTTTCTGCAACACTGTTTTTACGTACCTTACTGCACGTTTCGCCGCAGTTTCAAAAAGAAATGTCCACTGAGTGGCGCTAAAACACGGGTTCAATACGTGAACCCTGGCACATTTTTATTACATTGATATAGGTACGTATTGCTGTGTTTTTATTACGTTGCTTCAGGTACGTATTGCGGCGGTTCAGAATTCAAATATCCGGGGACTGTCGCTAAAAGTTAATGCTCTATCGTGTTGGAAATATGCCCGACACCAAACCCAACCCTAAACCTACCCGATAGTGTTAACAAATGCAAAACTGATATAAAAGCATATTTGTTGGTGCAACCGTGTCATCTGAACTTACTTATATGCAGATTTGAACCGTTTTGTCGAACCGTAGTTATACGGGATTCAAACCAGAGCTCCTTATGTACTTATTGGTACGTATTTCGCGTCTCGCGAAAATGTGCCCCCGGGTACGTTTTTGCCATGAGACCAGGTTGGCTTTAACAGAACCATAAATATAGCGAACCAGTGAAACTGCTAATTAGGGCTGCACGATAAATCGCATGCGATATTTAACGCGCATCTTATCAGTGAAGCCGGTTCTGTAATCAGCGGTAAATCTCCATCACCTGCGGGCGATGGAGATTTACCGCTGATTACAGAACCGGCTTTCTGACAAGATGCGCATTAAATATCGCATGCGATTTATCGTGCAGCCCTACTGCTAATCAAACATTTACGGAAACTTTTCACAGTGTCAATATGCATTAGCCTCTGACTGATTGCCATTTGGCTGATTAATTAACGCGTGCCTTCAAATGCAGCTCTCAGGAAAACCTGAACCATTATGGTTTCTAAATAATCATGGCCATCAATGTTATAGCTGAAAGGGATTGACATGTGGATAGACAGTCTTGAATAGAGAGAGTTTGTCTTTTTCTGAGCCGATGAGTGAAGATAGACTGATGAGTTACTGTGTGAGCTGTACTGTAAGACAGGCTGAGTCAGCTAATTAAAGGCTTTGAGTCTTTTAATCGACTGGGTTAGAAAGGGGAAATTTACCTTCCAGCTGGCCTCCCTTCAGCTGTCTATATCCACTGCCATGAGTGTTTGGATATAGTTCACTCTCTACTGGATTCTTTCTTCAAATTATTCAAGGATTGCTCACCCTCATGCTGTTCCAAAGCTGAATGATTTTAGTTCTGCCAGGAGATGTTTTGAACAAAGAGATGTTTTCGAAAATTCACACTGTTGAGCTCCAAAAATGCAATATAAAGGTTCCATACAACTTGTGAACTATATTCCAAATTGTTCTTCTACAGACGTACAATAAATAAATTGAATTCGACTATGTCACATCATCTTTTATGTAACATTACTTTTCATTTTAATTTCATTTCACAAAAAAAGTTTTTCCTCATTATTATTGTCTTGTTTTCCAATGCAAATGCCTAAATATTCTTAAATCAAGATGGATCTGCTTGAGAAGCAAAATGTCATAAGATAAAAAAAAAAAAAGTATTTCTGAAAAATTAATTAAAATTATGTTTTTTTTTATTTTTTATTATTAAACCAAGGGCAAATATCTGCTAATGGGCTTAGAAAAATTCTAAGTAAAAACTTTGTTTTTTTTACTTCATTTTTTGTCTCACGTAAATGTATCTTGATTTAAGGAAGTTCAGATATTTTTATTAGAAAACAAGACAAAAATACTGAGGGAAATAATTATTTTTTGCAGTACATGCAACATTAAACCTCAAGATTTTAAGAATTTATGACTTTCTGCTCTAATTTAAGACCTTTTTAGGCCTTAATTTGTAGA